AGCCAGGACTCCTGGGTTCTCTCCCTGGCTCGGGGAGGGGAGGGGGGTCTAGTGGTTAGGGCAGTGGGGGAGGGCACCACAGGGAAATGGGCACAGCCGTAAATTACCCCCGATGGGGACTGGAGCAATCAACACCCGTTACCTAGTGATCCCCATACGCCCCATCCAGTTACCCCAATAATCCCCCCTGCTCCCCACACCCCGCATTCAGTTACCCCCATATACCCCCTGCTCCCCCCACCCCGCATCCAGTTACCCCCATATCCCCCTGCTCCCCCACCCCATCGAGTTACCCCCATATCCCCCCTGCTCCCCCACCTCATCCAGTTACCCCCATATCCCCCTGCTCCCCCACCCCCATCCAGTTACCCCCATATACCTCCTGCTCCCCCACCCCATCCAGTTACCCCCATATTCCCCTGCTCCCCCACCCCATCCAGTTACCCCATACCCCCTGCTCCCCCATCCAGTTACCCCCATATCCCCCTGCTCCCCACACCCCATCTACCCATCCCCCCACCCTATCTATCTATCTATCTATCTATCTATCTATCCATCCCCATCCACCCCATCTATCTATCCACCCCATCTATCTATCTCTCCAGGGCCTCACACCCTTGGGGGCAGTGTTTGGGGGGCAGATCTCGGCTGACGTGCCCATGGGGCACCGAGGCCGGTGGGTTGGGATGGGAGGGGCCCAGCCAGGTGGGGGCTCGCGTGGCCCGGATCTGCCATGGCCACTGGCGGGGGCTCACGCCCTTCTGCCCTTCCCCCCATCGCTTGGCCCACCTCCCTCCCTGTCCCTCCGTCTGTCCCTGCCTCTGGCCACTGCCTCCACCGCCCCCTCCGTGCCCCCCCTCTTACCGCCCCCCCCCCCCCCCCACCCCCGGCCAGGCCACGCTGCTGTACCTTTAAATACCCCCCTCCCTCCGGCCTCCGGCATCCCTGCTATTTCGCCAGCCTAAATTTAAACCCTGCCACCTCAGCAGGACAGACGGACGGACCCCACCCCCCAGCAAAGAGCAGGGGAGGAATCGGTCACCCTGGATGCCCTCTGCGCCCCTCCCCGCCCGGGCACCAGGCCGGGCTGCAATCGTCGCATGAACTCCACGGGTCCCTTTGCCGTGGCTTGGCCGATTTACCCCGGCCCGGGGGCGGCAGGGGGCAGCTCCGGGGCTGCGTGGGGGGCGTCCCTCCCGGGTTACGCCAGCCGCGGAGATGGAGGCTGGGGGACATGGAACGGTGCAATGGGCTTACTCCTGATTTCCACCCCTAGGCCGCGGGAGTGGGGCTGGATCCCACCCCCCGTTTCCCTTCGGGCCGGGGGGCAGGCAGGGGGCAGAGCAGTGAGACAGCAGACGCTTCCATCCCTCCTTTGCAATAAATAACGGGGCGGGCGGGTTTATTGGAGATCAGGGCAGGCCAGTGTCTTCACACCGAGAGACAGGATAGTCGGGGGGTGGAGGGGGAGGGTCCAGAGGAAGGGGGGCACGCGGGAGGAAGTCTCTTGAAGTCCAGAGGCGGCCGGGGGAGAATCCGGCCCTGTGAGATCCAGCGCCTCGCAGAGGAGAGGTACAAACTCTGGATCTGGCCCCTCTCCCCATCCCTGCCCCCCAACTCTTCAGGGCCAAGCATGAGTCCCCATGGGGTCGGGAAGTCACTGCACCGTTCTATGCCTCAGTTTCCCCATCGGTAAAGTGGGGAGGATGAGCCTTCTCCTTAGTCCGCTCAGACCGTGAGGTCTTCAGGGCGGTAGCTGTCTCTTGTTGTTGGTCTGGGCAGCGCCCGGCACAACAGGGCCCTGATCTCGGCCGGGGTCCATGCAGCGCCGAGCGCAAAGGGGCCCTGATCTCAGTTGGGGTCTGGATAGCGCCCGCCGCAATGGGGCCCTGATCTCGGTCAGGGTCTGTGCAGCACCTGGCACGACAGGGCCCTGATCTCTATCGGGGTCTGTGCAGCGCCTGGCGCGACGGGGCCCTGATCTTGGTTGGGGTCTGGGGAGCGCCCGGCGCGACGGGGCCCTGATCTCGGTCGGGGTCTGGGCAGGACCCGGAGCGACGGGGCCCTGATCTCGGTTGGGGTCTGTGCAGCGCCTGGCGCGACGGGGCCCTGATCTCGGTCGGGGTCTGGGCAGGACCCGGAGCGACGGGGCCCTGATCTCGGTTGGGGTCTGGGCAGTGCCTGGCGCGACGGGGCCCTGATCTCCGTTGGGGTCTGTGCAGCGCCTGGCGCGATGGGGCCCTGATTTTGGTCAGGGTCTGGCAGCGCATGGCACCACAGCGCCCTGATCTCGGCCACAATAATCTGCAATTAAAAATAAATAAAGCGCAAAGCTCAGGGGCCGACGTGTGAAGTCCTACAGGCACTGCGGGCGTCGGGGGGAGACCTTTCTGTGCAAAGCCCCCGCGTCTGGAGAAGACCCGGATCGGCCCCTGCGTCTGGAGCCCCTTTTAAGAAGCGGCCGTTCTTTGCAAAGCGCCTGGGAAGCGGAGACCCAGCGCCTAGGACCTTGCATCCTGCAGTCCAGAGTCCAGCGTCTGCTTTAACTGTCCCGAGCTGAACGGAGCGAGAGCTCAGCTGCTCCTGGCGGGGCAGCAGTTCCCGGGACGTTCGGGGCTGGGCAGGGAGCGCTGGCTGGGGTCCCTCCGGAGTAGCCGCTCGGAGCGAGGCCCTGGTGGGGTGGCCCTGGGTCCCTCCAGGAAGGGGGCACCATGCGAGAGACCCGTGGCTGCCCCGGGTGCATTGCGGGTCTGGGTTGTGTGGTCCACGTTGCTTTCGGGGTGGCCCAACAGATGTGCTGCTCGCCCGGACGATACACCAGCCGTGACACCACGGGGGACCGCGTGGTCATACAATGGTTAGAGCAGTACTCATGGGCACACGTGCACTGTTGTTCCTGCACGTTTGCACCGTCATTGTGCTGTAGGCCCCACCCGCCCCTCGCACACACACCCCCGACAGGCCTTTCTCCTCACAACATTTACACTCACGCCTGTTCCTGGTGCCACTGTCCTCTCCGACCCAGCATTTAAGACCATTGAAACGAAAATTAAGACAACGAATGAGGGAGGTGGCCTGTAGCCAGGAGGACAATGGGGAAGGGGGGGACGGAGATTTCTCCCTCTCCATCCCATGTCCCTCTTCTCCTACTCTACGCTGCCCTCCAGCTCGCTGGGCGTTTCTGTGTGTGGCAAACACCAATGTTTAAGACTTGGGACTCCCCTGAGCTTCTCTTTCCCCGCCTCAGCTTGCCCATTAGCTTGGGACAAGCTGGAGGTATGTGATTCTGGGGGTACGGCAAGCCGGGGACATCTGGGTGGCCCCCGAACTCCTGGGGGATGCAACTGCACTCTGCGGGAGGTGTCAGCTTTGCAGGGTTTGGGGGAAAACATTTGATTGGAAGGGGTTTGGAGTGGGTTGGAAAAGGACCAGAAGAGGACTGAGTTGGGTTGGGGGATTGAGTAGAACTGAGTTGTGTTGGGTTGGGAGGGGACTGGACTGCGTTGGGTTGGGTTGGGAATGGGCTGGGTTGAGTTGGGAGGGGATTGAGTTGTGTTGGGTTGGGAGGGGACTGGACTGCGTTGGGTTGTGTTGGGAACGGGCTGGTTTGAGTTGGGAGGGGATTGAGTTGTGTTGGGTTGCGGGGGACTGGACTGCGTTGGGTTGGGCTGGGAACGTTCTGGGTTGAGTTGGGAGGGGATTGAGTTGCGTAGGATTGAGGGGACTGGACTGCATTGTGTTTTGTTGGGAACGGGCTGGATTGAGTTGTGTAGGGTTGCGGGGGACTGGAGTGCGTTGGGTTGGGTTGGGAACATTCTGTGTTGAGTTGGGAGGGGATTGAGTTGCGTACGATTGCGGGGACTGTACTGTGTTGGGTTGGGTTGGGAACGGGCTGGGTTGGGAGGGGATTGAGTTGCGTAGGGTTGTGGAACTGGAGGGTCCTGGACTGCGTTGGGTTGGGGACAAGCTGAGTGACCCACTGACTGAGTTAAGTCAAGGCTGAGTCGGGGCAGCAGTGTGGAGCTCGTCCTTATGGAAGCTGTGAGCCAAATTTTCTTCTCTTTGCTTGGCCGGTTTTGTGGAAGGGCTGACGCCTTTGAGCCCAGCTTACCAGGCAAACGTCTCCAGGGGAGATCCGCCCTGCACCTGGTGGGGGCAGGAAGGAGACACACTCGGCAGAAGCAACCGTCCCGGCCCTAGCTTTGAATCTGCCAGCATGGGAGAGGCCGGGTGGGCTGGGCATGTCCCTAGTTGAGGTGTGGAGCTGATGGGAAGGATAGCTCCCGAAGTGAGACACTGGGGTGGGAGACAACCCCAGTCCAGCACATGAAACATAGTCACAATGTCCCCGGGGCTCTGGCCGCCTCCCCGGCCCCTGCCCCTGGCCCTCCACCTCTCCAACGGCTGAGATTGTATTGCCCTGCAAAGCTCGCTCAGATACCTTGGCAAGACGCCTTCCCTTATTTATCCCCACGCTTGCTATTTGGGGCTCGGTGGCGTGGGGTATGTTCCAGGGCGCTCTCCAGCAGATGTAACCCGAGAACATGCTGAGGTGAGCTCAGCAAGTGCCCCGGGGCCAGCTGCTCTCAGTCAGGGAGCGGGAGACGGGACTGGGGGCGGGGGAGGCCTCGGTACCGGGCCGGCTGCAGCCAGAGCTTTCTGGCCAGGCGAGGGGGGCAGTGTCCGTGCCAGGAGACACCCCCCACTCCCTCGCCCCTCTCTGGTTAGAGACAGAGTGGCCAAACCCAGGACCCAATCTCGTCTCCCACCGCCCAAGAGAGGCGCCGAGGAGGGGTGGGGGCGGCAGGTTGGAAGTTGGGTGGGGAGAGGCGCCAGCAGGTTCACACCTGGGTCACCAAGCCCCGGTTCGGTTGTTGGGGCTCCAGCAGGACCGTCTGGCTGCTGGCCGAGGCCACCATCCCGTCCAGGAGCCGGCAGCTGGGCAGCGCCAGGGCCCCATCTCCACAGTATGTCTCCTCCTTCCCGCAGGCCTTCTCCTGGCGGGCGGGCAGCAACGGGGAGGGCAGGCGGCCAGGGCAGCCGGCCACGTGGGTGTACTGGCCCTGCTCCTCGCCTTCCGTCTCCCGGTGGTAGAAGTAGGAGAAGTTGGAGACGATGACGGGCACCGGGAGGGAGATGGTGAGGACCCCGGCGATGGCGCACAGCGAGCCCACGATCTTCCCGCCCACCGTCACGGGGGACATGTCCCCATAGCCCACTGTGGTCATGGTGACCACGGCCCACCAGAAGGCCTCGGGGATGCTGGTGAAGTTGGTCTCGGCGTGGTCGGCCTCGGCGAAGTAGACGGCGCTGGAGAAGAGGATGACGCCGATGAAGAGGAAGAAGATGAGCAAGCCCAGCTCCCGCATGCTGGCCTTCAGCGTCTGGCCCAAGATCTGCAGCCCCTTGGAGTGGCGCGAGAGCTTGAAGATGCGGAAGACCCTGACCAGCCGGATGACGCGGAGGATGGCCAGCGACATGGCCGGCTGGCCCACCCCCCGCTGCCGGGCGAACTCCGTGCCCAGCGCCACGAAGTAGGGGATGATCGCCACGAAGTCGATCATGTTCATGATGTCCTTGAAGAAGGCCGGCTTGCTGGGGCTGGCCAGGAACCGCACCGCCAGCTCGAAGGAGAACCAGCAGATGCAGATGGTCTCGACGATGAAGAAGGGGTCGTCCAGCTGGCTCTTGGGGGTGTGCATGTGGCTGCTGTTAGCCCGGTGATGGGGGACCTGGCGGGGACATGTGACGGAGGAAGGGGTCAGGGGGAAACCCAGCTGGGGGGGAAGTCTGGCCCGCGGGGAGGAGGTGGCATGCAGCCCAGGTCATCCCCGCCTCCCTGCAGGGAATCCCCCGCCAGCAGCGTCAGCAAATTTACATCAATTATCGGCCCCCGCCAGGCGCCAGCAGCCTGGGAGCGAGGTGGGGGGAGGTCACCCAGCCCGGGGGGTGTGAGAGGGCGGAGGGGGCTGGGTGGCTGGCACCGCACAGGGCCGATAATCTGCAGGTGGCTCCTAGGCAGGACCCACACAGCCAGGCCAGTCAGCACCATCCCTGACCCAGTCTGCCAGGAACCAGGCCCCCCGCAAGCAGGCAGCGCTCCGGGGCT